TAGCTGCTTTTATGATGTGAATGAAAAGGTTCATTAAAAAAATCTGTTAATTCCAATAGAGGATGGGGTCTTGCAGGGAGCAGAGGAAAATCCAGCTTTCTTTTATAACTGATTTTCAGAGGCCTTCTGCAAGTATACTAATGTAGATCCATCTTCCAGGGAGGGAAAGGCACTAATGGGACATCATTTCACCTGTCAGTCATCCCCAGATATTCGATGTAAGCGACAAAAATTTAAAATGGGGCCACAGACACTTATGGTGCTTCTTACTATAATTCACAACTTTTCTGTGTTCAACAATCAGGACCCAGAGGAGAGAAAAAAGAGAAAGATTAGGATTATGGTAGTTGTAATTGGTAATGCTTCAAACCCACCCAGGTCATCTAAGGAAAAACCCAAGGACAACCTAGGAAAGGGTTCCTGTTTCAAGTGCAAGAGGACTGGACACTGGGCATGAAGTTGCACCAAGTCTCTGTCTGGGCCCTGCCCCGCATGTGAGCCAGCTAATGTACCTGATTGTGGTACTGGAGGGTGGACTGTCTCTACTTCCAGAGAGAGGTTAGGCTAGCTAGAATTCTCATTTCCTGCTCTGAGGACTGAAGAGGCCCAGGGGAACCTGCAATGTCCCTGTTCGTGGACATCACCATTTCCTGCAAGAAAGCCTAGGTAAACTTAGATGTCAAGGGTGAGTTGGTTCGACTGCTTACAGATACAGGGACAGCTCATTCTGTTCTGAGTTCCTTCTCTGGAAAACTCTAGGTCTATAGCCATAGTTGGGGTCGAGGGGACTCCTAGGAGGAGATTCTTTACCCCTGCTCTGATGTGTCACTTTGAAGGCTAAATATTTAACTATGAGTTACTAATTGTCCCAGTGTCCTACTCCCTTGCTAGGAAAAATTTTACTAACAAAATTGGGGACAATTCTCACATTCCAGCCAAGACAAAAAAATATTTTACTTGTTAAGACTACACCAGGTCTCCTTGGCCAAATTAGCCAACAGGTGGATCCTGCTGCATGTATAATGAAATACCTGGTAAGGCAAATGCAGCTATGCTAGTAATCATAAGACTAAAAGACCCAGCTGATTTCCTAATCGAAAGCAGTGTCCAATCAAAGAACAGGCAGGAAAGGTCTGCTCATAGATGAGTTTCTCAAATACAGCCTTCCGAAACCTTGTCAGTTCCCTTGCAGTACTCCCATGAGAACATCAGATGGTACAAGACCTCCACCTCTTAATGAGGCTGTCATTCCAACCCATCCTTTAGTGGCAGATTCATATATAACTATCTCCCATATTCTAGGGGACCCTAGTTGGTTCTCAGCCTTAGATATAAAAGAAGCATTTTTTCCACCCCCCTATATCCAGAGTCCTAATTTTTGGTTACCTTTGAATGAAGGAAAAAAAAAATGGCTCTGCTATCCCTAACAAGATCACTCAGAAGGAAAAAGCTGCTCCTGTGAGCCTCTGGAAGACCTGAAATTCCTCTTCAAAAAGCAAGACTTGGGCCAGGGATTTAGCTCAGTGGTGCCGCTGCCTGCCTGCCTCACAAGCTCAAGGATCTGAGTTTGATCCCCGGTACCAAAAAAAAAAAAAAAAAAAAAAAAAAAA